GAAAATAAGAGTGTAATTCTAAATTGTAAATCTGCTCATATTTATTCCTCATATATTAGTAAGAAGATATAAGATAAAAATTCATTTCTTTTCCCAGCAATAGGGAAGGTAGGTTTTTCTGCTCCGAGGCAATCCAGCAACTTTGGTCCTATGTACTTTGGTGTTCACTCTTTATTAGGGTGCCTCTTCATTCATATCACCATGCCTTTGTTCCTGACATCAGGAAGAGAGAAAAAGAGAATGGAGATTTGGAAGCTCCCTATTAAGACCTGACCTATAATTTGCACACACATCTTCTCTTTGCTTTTGGTCAGAACTTAATCATATGGCAAAACTCAAATGCCAGCAAAGTTAAGGAATATAGTCTGTAGCTGAGGGCCATTCCATTTTCATAAGAAAAAAATCATTAAAAGATGAGTATCCTTTTTCTCATGCATAAAACATATCCCCCAAAATACTGACACGCTCTAGGAAAATATCTCAAAATCCTATTCAGGTTCTGTACCCAGCTTAAAGTCTGTCCAGGATCTCTGAATGAGCGTCTTTCCAGTACATCAAATGTGGCTCCTTGTGTTACAACAACTTATATGTCAACACATGGATTTATTTCCTCTCCTATATGCTCAATGTATAACAGTAGAGTAGGAGCAGAATAATGACATTATTCATTCAGAAAAAGATGAATGAAGAATAGATAATAATCCTTCTATAGTAGTTATCAAATTGTACTTGGCAAAAATTGTGAAGAATCATTCTTTGGCAATTCCTAAGTCCATCTGCCACTTTAGTTTTTGCATGCTGGACATAACTTTCTCTGCTTTGGATTCACAGTGCTGGACTCTGCCCTCTGGAAGGATCTCCTCATTTATTATTTTCTATGGCCATTACTAATGTTGGGATTGGAAGGTATGCCCTACTAAGGCCTGCCCAGCTTTGTGCTGGCACAGAATTCATGGTCCCAATTTTTCTCTGGGGCTTGAAAGGACATAGACATTTTCTAGCCAGGATGTGATTTCTTTGACCACACGTTTCAACTTTGTAATTTTTTTTTGTTTTTGTTTTTTGGGTTTGTGTGTGTGTGTGTATGTGTGTGTGTGTGTGTGTGTGTGTATCCTTCCAGTTAAGTTTCTTGTACCAGTACCTATAGACAAATACTTCTAGACATGGTTTTTACATGGTTTGCATCTCTGTGTTCCAGAATGCCCTTTTTCTCCTTCAGGCTATTTGTGGTTACCTTGATGTGATCTCTACCAGTATGTTCTTAAAAATGGAACAACCTGAATCTGATACTTGCTACTAGGCTAATTTCCATTACCATTGGGTAACAAGGGGCAAGTTCTGAAACAAGCTTGAGGTCTCAATTGTCATGCTGTTGGAATTTAAGAAGTAGTGGTCATTCCAACATTGCAAAACCCCAAATAATTTAATCCTTGGTCAGTTTATATTGATACAAGCAGAAAGAAGTCTTTATAGTAGGACTATCTTCCTTTCCATTTCTGCTTTAAATTAATTCTTTCTGAGCTCATATTTATCATGCTACCTTGTTAAGAGCTACAGAATTAAAAAGCAACAAACAGAGATATTCTAATAAATAATTTTTCCCTTTAAGTTTCAGGATACATGTGCAGAATATGCAGGTTTGTTACATAGGTATATGTGTGCCTTGGTGGTTTACTGCACCTGTCAACCTGTCTTCTAGGTTTTAAGCTCTGCATGCATTTGGTATTTATCCTAATGCTCTCCCTCCCCTTGCTCTCCACTCCCTGGCAGACCCCGGTGTGTGTGTGTGTGTGTGTGTGTGTGCGCGTGTGCATGTGTGTGTTTCCCGCCCCTGTGTCCATGTGTTCTCATTGTTAACTCCCACTTATGAGTGAGAACATGTGGTATTTGGTTTTCTGTTCCTGTGTTAGATTGCTTAGATGATGGCTTCCAGCTTCATCCATGTCCCTGGAAAGGACATGCTCTCATTCTGTTTTATGGCTGCATAATATTCCATGGTGTAGATGTGCCACATTTTCTTTATCCAATCTATCATTGATGTGCATTTGGGTTGGTTTCAAGTCTATGCTATTGTAAATAGTGCTGCAATAAACATGCATGTGCATGTGTCTCTATAGTAGAATGATTTATAATCCTTTAGGTATACACCCAGTAATGGGATAGTTGGGTCAAATGTTATTTCTGGTTCTAGATCCTTGAGGAATCACCACACTGTCTTCCACAATGGTTGAACTAATTTACACTCTTACCAACAGTGTAAGAGCTTCTGCGCAGTGAAAGAAACTATCATCAGAGTTAACAAGTAACCTACAGAATGGGAGAAAAGTTTTTCAATCTACCCATATGACAGAGGTCTAATATTCAGAATCTACAAGGAACTTAAACAAATTTACAGGAAAAAAACAACCCTATCAAAAAGCAGGCAAAGGATATGAACAGACACTTCTCAAAAGAAGACATTTATGTGGCCAATGAACATATGAAATAAAGATAATCATTACTGGTCATTAGAGAAATGCAAATCAAAACCACAATGAGATACCATCTCATGCCAGCCAGAATGGGAATTATTAAAAAGTCAGGAAACAATAGATGCTGGTGAGGCTGTGGAAAGATGGGGATGACAGTCTAATATATTTCTAGATATTTCTAGAGCTACAGATTCTGTAGAAATGTGACCTGCATTCCAATTGTCATAGGAAGTTATTTTACTTAATGCTCCCCACAACATGACCAGAATCAGAAGATTTCCATGCTGTGCTGTTTCCTTTATTGCTGCCCAGTCCCTGGTTATGAAGCCAGTGTCACATAGGTTAGGATTTTATTCCCAATGCATCTTATTGCTAGTTATTATTTTTTTATGCACAGGGTATACACTAAGTTTCCGTAACCAATAGCCTACCCCTCCAAATATAGAGGTTTAAGAAAGTAGATATTAATATCTTTTTTACACAACAATTTGGGAGTTGGTGAATAGTCCAGAAAAATTCAGGCTTCTCTGTCCCAGAATTAACCAAGGGACATAAATTCTTTGTCTTCTTGCTCTGCGTTCTTCTCAGGAATGGGATTCATACACATAATTATAGTTGATTGACTATGACCAGCATAACATTACAGTCATTAGGAAGGGAGAAAGGGTGTGGAGGTGAGCAACTGCTTTTTAAGGCCATCACTTCAAACTTATACATGCCAATTTTTGCTCATATCCCATTGTCACAAATCTAATTTCATAACTATATCCTGGTAAAGAGAGGTAAGAAAGTAGTCTTCTGACTTTTCAGCCTATAACCCACTTTAAAAGTCTCAGGTGTGGGCAGGGGTTTTCTGTTACTGAAGGGGAAAAGAAGGAATAGATATTTCAGAGAAAATTAGTGATATGTGAACTCAAATCCTAGTCCTTTCTATTCTATTAACTGCTGACAAAAATAACAGGATAAAATACAAACTACATCTCCACAAAATAAAATAATAAACAACATCTCCATAGTCATTATTTTTTAAATAATAATGCTAAAAGGGTGAAATTGTTTGTCATATGTGTTATTGTATCAAATCATTAATTTGTATTTTCCTTCCGATATAACAATCAAAAGGCAACAACAACAACAACATCTTAAGTTAACAATTTCTTAGTACAAAGTGTCTTGATGGGTTTCAATGGATAATTAAATGGATATTTCTCCAGCTTAGTTTGTAGAAGTAATGGTGGAGGGGAAAAGTTGCCTTAGGTAGGGTGACTTCTATGACATCTGTTTCTAGGAGCCATTTATTAAAGCAATTCACCACCCAAAATTTGTCTTTGTTTCTGTCACATACATAAGGAAATAAGTCATTATTATTTATGGTAGTATTGTGATATAAGCAGCCCTCACTGTAATCAAAATATTTCACCCTGTGTGGAACTGAAAATCACCAGTTGGAGGGCTGAAGTAGGAGACAGTTGATTCAACTTGTTCTTTGATAAAAGACGTAATGCAATGGAGAAAGTATAAATTTCCTTTGGTTTGAATAAATTTGCCTCAAGATATTGCATTTGTTACATTCCAATTTCAGGCAATGAACCCTGAAATATATGTGGCACAGTTCTTTTATAGAATGGCTCTTTGCTGTGAAAGGAGGGATCATTCTGCCTTGTTATTAAGAATATTAGAAATGTCCCTCTAGGAGCAGAAGAGCATGTGGCTTAAAATTTACCTTGGTTTAGAAAACATACATTTCTGGTGTTCCTGATTTACACTACTGTTTAAATGTTTAAATTATTAAATTCTCTCCATTATACTCTCCTTTACATGTGTGTGTATATATAATTTATATACATACATATGTATATATGTGTGTATATATAAATAAATACATACAATGACAAGTCTGGAATTTTAACTATGTTGAATTATGTAGAAATGAGATTTTTTAAATATAAGCCTGTCTCAAGTTGTCACAGGATCCTTAGGGTGTTGCTTTATCAGCTGGAAATGTCTGTGGCCTCTGGTCCCTTTGCCCAAGTTTTGCTTGGCCCTGCTGGGCTTGTTCTGCCCACACGGGCTGGCAGACTGTGCTTGGCTTTCACTGTCAACCTAGATCCCATGCATGCCAAAGATAAGCCAGGCACAGAATGAGGGGATATGTGAGCAAGCAAGTGTGGGGTCTGGCCACTGTGCACAGCCAGGCACTCTGGTTGTGGTGGGGCAGGCAGCTACAAGCACCGGCACTGGTGCCAGCACCAGGGAATGCAGTGGTGTCCAGAAGCTTGGAGATACAAGGAACTGCAGAGCCCCAAAGAGAGTGTCACAGCCCTGGCTTAGGGAGCTCCTAAGTCTGGGCTCCCTGAAGGGCTGCAGCTCTTCTCTCCTTCTCTCTTCTTTTTCTCATTGCTTGTGATGTGATGAGGCAGGGAGGTGTGGGGTGTGTTTCAGCCTTGTTTGTATTACAGCTCTTTCAGTCTGGCAGGTCCCAAGTTCTTGTCCCACATCTAGGAAGAATGAGGTACATGAACAACTGGAGGGTGAGCAAGGCAAAGAGGTGCTTTATTAAGCAACAGCACAGCTCTCAGGAGACCCAAAATAGGTAGCTCTTTCAGGAAGATTATCCTGATGAGTGCAGCCCTCAGCAGAGAGGAGATCCCATCAAGTGTGCAGCCCTCCCTGGAGAGTAGTCTGAGAGTGGGTAGCTCCTTTCTGCAGACAGGTCCTCCTGATGAGTGTTCAGCTCTCAGCAGATAGGATGCCAACAGTAGGTAGCTCCTCTTCACGGGCAGGATGTTCCATAATTTGCCCAAGTCTGGTTGAGTCCAGGGTTACTATGGGCTTCAAATGGGAGGAAGTACATGCTGATTTGTCTATGGGAGGCTATGGGTAGGCCCTGAAAAAGCGGCATGTGTTCTCACTTTGGTCCATGGAACTGGAAGCCTAGCTGCCAGACTCCAGGTCTTCTCAAGCCTGAAGTTAGGGCTTCACCAGGGACCTGTGCTTTTCTGTCCGGGAACCTGTCTGCCTCCCACCACCATCAACCTGCCATCCCCAGTGCCCAGGCCATTCATGTGAAAGGGCACCTGCAGGCCTATGCTGAGCTGCCCTCAGGCCATGTCAGCGTCTCTTCCATGCTCATTGCTGCCCCAAATCCAGAGTCAGCAGAGGTGGCAGGAGGCAGCAGAGGTGGCAGGAGGGCGGTGTGCCAGCACCACCCCAAGTGTGTGCACACCTGGCCAGGTCGTGACAGCACCCAAGCTTGGCCACAACTTTGCTCCAGAATCGAAGTGGGGGCTGGGAGCAGGGAGAGGCCAGGCAGTGGGAGCAGGTACTTTCAAGCCTGCAGGGCAGAGGGGCTTCCCAGGCCCCCAAGAGCACAGGGATGCCTGGATCCACAGCCAGGGCTGGGTGGCTGCAACTGTGAGTGGAAGCACAGGGCTCCTACCCTGCCAACTCAGAATGGGGCGGGGCTCCCGCCTGTTCCCAGCTTCCATGGGCTCCACAAAACGTGCAGCCACGGCCACGGCTCCCCCACTGCAGCTGACATCTTTGCAGCAGCCGCTCCGGACAGTCCACTGCTGCATCAAAGTCATTGAAGTTAATGTTGAAAATGTTCGGTTTTTATGCACAATTAACAGGTAAAATTCAAGATTACTTTTGCTATATTCAAAATCCATTCAATATGTAGTGTTAAATACTAATTGAATTTACAGTTTTTTCAGGAGTTAACAGAATTCTTATATCAAAAGTAAAATACCCGAGTCAAAGGAATTTTATAAATATATTCAACAAAAGAAGTCGTGTAAGGTTTATTAATCAACAACTACATCGCAGAAAACAATATCCTGAAAATTTTAACTTTTACTATTCGTTAACATGCTGCATTTTTTTTCTTTTTTTTAGAAATGGGGTCTTGCTCTATTTGGCCAGACTTGTCTTGAACTCCTGGAATGAAGCAATACTCCTGTCTCGACCTTCCAAAGTGCTGGGACTACAAGCATGAGCCACTGTGCCTGGCTACTTGCTGCATTTTAAAGATAAAGAGTACCGGGTCTGTGGTTACTTGCATAGATTTTGAGGTTTTCTTTAGAAAGAATTCTGTCTTTATATTATTTCTGACTCCTTTGAATACTAAATGAAAAATGACAAGGATTATTTTATTTGTAATTAATTTTTATGTTTTATATGAATGCATACATATTTTAAATGCAAGCTTTTATTTAAAGGTTTATAACAGAGCATTATTTCAGCTTTCCATTCCCCTCTTCCACACAAGAAAATTGTATTCTGCTCTTTCAGTCCTCTGCTTTCAACCCTTTTTAAAAAAATTGTTCAGAGATGGGCTGGCTTTTACTTTTCTATTTATTTATAATTTCAATGTCCCCATCGTTATTCATTAATATTATTTTGATATTATCTGTTGCTTTGTTGTTATTACAGTTGTATACTTCCACATATTATTTTCGAGAACCCCTAGATTTATTTCTATTCATTTAATCACTTACTTTTTGTCATCTTTTCAGAGTTTTTCAAGAAGGGTACTGGGGAATAAATTTTTGATAATTCATTTTTCTGAAATTAGCTTTATTTATCTCTTTTCCTAAGTTTATGGTTTCTGTAGTTTTAAAGTTTTAAGGTTAAAATAATTTCATCTCAGACTTTTGAAGGCAGTGCTTCAGTCCAGCCTGATTCTCATACTGCAGTTTCAGAGTGAGGGAAAGGAAGAAGGAGTAGGGAAGGAAAGAAGAAAGGAAGGAAGGAAGGAAGGAAGGAAGGAAGGAAGGAAGGAAGGAAGGAAGGAAGGAAGGAAAAGGAAAGGAAAGGAAGGAAGGGAGGGAGGGAGGGATCAAATTTGATTCCAATGTTGTTGAGGAATTTAACAGTATACTTGATTATTTTATCATGACCTTGTTTTTACCCTGGAAAATTCTAGAACTGGCTGCTTATTCTTGGACATCTAAACTTTAAAAATTATATTAAATGCTGCACTTGTTTTTATTTTGTAATATTTGAACTTGGAATCCTTTTTCTATCTTGAGTTTTATGTCATTGGGTTCCAGTAAATGTTTTTGTAATATTTTATTGGAAATTTCCTCTAACATTGTGAATGCTTCCTTAATTTTCTAAAATTTCTATCTTCTCAACTCTTCTCTTTATTATATTCTTTGGGAGATAAACTTCAACTTGCAAGCTGTCTCTAATTTTATAAAATTTCAGCTTTCATGATTTTAAGTACCAATTGATATTTCTTATTTTCTAACATTTATTTTTTATAGAAGCTTATTCTTTTTCACAATGCAATACATTATGTTATCCCTCTGATAATTAAACTTTCTTTGAAATTTTCTCTGCTTAATGTTTCTCACAGTTTGCAGTATCTTCTCCCTTTATTTAGAGTCTTTCATTTTAAAAAGTCTGATGACTTTCTAAAATTAAATATCTAGAAAGTTGACAACTTCTCAAGGGTGAGCAAACCAGCCCCGAAGGCAGCAGAAGACAAGAAATAACCAAAATCAGAGCCAAAATTAAAAAAAAAAAAAAAAAAAAAAAAAAAAAAAAAGACTCAAAAAACCACCAAAACATCAAGGAATCCAGGAGTTGGATTTTTGGAAAAATAAATAAGATAGGCTACTACTTACACTAATAAAGAAGAAAAAATATTGAAATAAAAACTTAGAAATGACAAAGGATATGTTACCACTGACCCTACAGAAATACAAATAATCATCAAAGACTACTACAAATACCTCTGTGCACACAAATTAGAAAACCGAAAAGAGATGAATACATTCTTGGACACATATACCTTCCCAAGACTGAGCCAGGAAAAAATTGATTCCCTGAACAGACCAATAATGAGTTTCAAAATTGAATCAGTAAAAAATAGCCTACCAACCAAAAAAAGCCTGGGAGCAGAAGGATTTACAGCTGAAATCTACCAGATGTACAAAGAAGAGCTGGTGCCATTCCTACTGAAACCATTTCAAAACATTCAGGTGGAGGGATTCATCCCCAACTCATTCTATGAGGCCAAAATCATTTGTATACCAAAATCTGGCAGAGACACAACAGAAAAAGAAAACTTCAGGCCAATCACTTTGACGAACACTGATGCAAAAAATCTTCAGCAAAATACTGGCAAACTGAATACAGCAGCACATCAAAAAGCTCTCTACCGTGATAATTGGGATGCAAGGTTGGTTCAACATATGCAAATCAATAAATATGATTTATCACATAAACAGACATAAAGACAAAAACCACGATTATTTCAATAGATGCTGAAAAGGCTTTTGATAATATTCAACATCCCCTCATGTCAAAAACTCTCAAAAAAACTAGGTATTGAACAAATATGACTAAAAATAATAAGAGTCATCTTATTATGCCAAACCTACAGCCAACATCATACTGAATAAGCAAAAGCTAGAAGCATTCCCCTTGAAAACTGGCATGAGATGAGAATGCCTTCTCTCATCACTCCTATTCAACATGATATTAGAAATCCTCAAAGTCCAAATAGGAAAAGAGGAAGTCAAAATATCCCTGTTGGTAGATGACATGATTCTATATCAAAAAGACCCCATAGTTTCAGCCCAAAATATCCTTCTGCTAATAAACAACTTGAGTTGCTAATAAACAATTTCGGGATACAAAATCAATGTAGAAAAAAAAAAAATCACCAGCTTCCTATACACCAACAACTGTCAAGCCAAGGGCCAAATCAGGAGTACAATTCCATTCACAATTGCTGCAAAAAGAATAAAATACCTAGGAATACAGCTAACCAGGGAGGTAAACTATCACTACAATAATTACAAAACATTGGTCTAAGAAATCAGAGATGACATAAACAAATGGAAAAACATTCCATGTTCATAGATTAGAAGAATCAGTGTCATTAAAATGTTAACATGGCCCAAAACAGTTTACAGATTCAATGTCATTCCTATCAAACTACCCATGACATTCTTCACAGAACTAAAAAAAGTATCTATTTTAAAATTTGTATAGAACAAAAAAAGAGCCTGAATATTTAAGGAAATCTTAAGCAAAAAGAACGAAGCTGGAGGCAGCATGTTACCCAACTTTACTACAGGGCTACAGCAACCAAAATAGCATGGCAGTGGTACATAACCAGACAGATAAACCAAGGGAACAGAATAGAGAGCCCAGAAATAAGGCTGCACACCTACAACCATCCGATTTTTGACAAAGTTGACAAAAACGAACAATACAAAAGAACTACCTATTCAATAAGTGCTGAAGTAACTGGCTAGCCATAGGCAGAAGATTGAAAATGGACTCCTTCCTTATACCATACACAAAAACCAACTCAAGATGAATTAAAGACTCAAATGTAAAACCCAAAACTATAAATATGCTGAAAGACAACCTAAGCAATACCATTCTGGACATAGGAACTGGAAAAGATTTCATGATGAAGATGCCAAAATTAATCATAAGAAAAGCAAAATTGACTAATGGGATCTAATTAAACTAAAGAGCTACTGCACAGCAAAAGAAAGTTCAACAGAGTAAACAGACAACCACACAGAATGGGAGAAAATATTTGCAAACTATGCGTCTGACAAAAGGTCTAATATCCAGCATCTATAGAAATTAACACATTTATAAGGAAAAAAAAAAAAACCTCATTACAATTGGGCAAAGGATATGAATTCTTTTCAAAAGAAGACATACATGGAGCCAGCAAGCATATGGAAAAAAGTTCAACATCACTAATCATTAGAGAAATGCAAATCAAAACCACAGTGAGACACCATCTCACACCAGTCAGAATGGTTATTATTAAAAAATCAAATAAGGGTTGAGTGTGGTGGCTCAAGCCTGTAATCCCAGCACTTTGGGAGGCTGAGGCTGGCAGATCTTGAGGTCAGGAGATCGAGATCATCATGGCTAACATGGTGAAACCACGTCTCTACTAAAAATACAAAAAAAAGAAAATAATTAGCCGGGCATGGTGGCAGGCACATATAGTCCCAGCTCCCACCCCTCAGGAGGCTGAGGCAAGAGAATGGTGTGAACCCGGGAGGCAGTCCCAGGCTCCCAGCTACTTGGGAGGCTGAGGCAAGAGAATGGTGTGAACCCGGGAGGCAGAGCTTGCAGTGAGCTGTGATCGTGCCACTGCACTCCAGCCGCGGTGACAGAGCAAGACTCCATCTCAAAATAAATAAATAAATTAATTAATTAATTAATTAATTAAATTAAAAGTCAAATAATAACTAATCCTAGCAAAACAAGGAAGTGGAGAAAAGACAATATTTATATCTGTTGGTGGAGGTATAAAGTAGTTCAACCATTGTGGAAAGTAGTGCAACGATTTCTCAAAGAGCTAAAAACAGAACTACCATTTGACCCAGTAATCCCATTAATGAGTATATACCCAAAGGAATATAAATTGTTTTACCACAAAGACACAAGCAGGCAAATGTTCATTGCAACATTATTCACAATAGCAAAGACATGGAATCAACCTAAATGCCCATCAAAGGCAGATTGGATAAAGAAAACATGTTACATACACACCATGGAATACTATGCAGCCATAAAAAAGAATGAGCTCTTCTTGTTCTTTGCAAGAACATGGATGAGGCCATCAAACTTAGGAAACGAATGCAGGAACAGCAAATCAAATGCCATATATTCTCACCTACAAGTGGGAGCTAAATGACGAAGTCATGGACACAAAGAGGGAAATGGTAGACACTGGGGCCTACTTGAGGGAGAAGGGTGTGAGAAGGGAGAGAATCAGAAAAAATAATTATTGGGTATTGGGATTAGTACGTGGGTGATGAAATAATCTGTACAACAAACTGTGACATAAATTTATCTATATAACAAACTGCACGTTTCCCTGAACCTAAAAGTTTAAAAGACAATAAAAATATAATTTTTTTTTAATTACTAAACATATTTTTTAAAAAGAGAAACATTTCTTAAGGGTGGATGGACCTGGTTTGTCAAGTGGCAAGATAATTTGTACTTACTGTTTTGTGGTTGGTGCTCTTCTTCACAAATTGATAGTTTCTGGCAGTTATTCTCTAAATCCATTCTATTTCCACAACAGGAAATCCCCTCTTCTGTTGTGAGAAGGCACAAAGAGTGGAAAAACTTGGGAGTAAGAACAGCAGGAAATAATCTCACCCACCTTGGGGATATTTAGTGAGGGAACCTGACTGTTGCCACATAATGTATTCTGTTGAGTTTTATTCATTCTTATTATATATTGTCCCATCCTTTATCTCTACTCCTCTTTGAAACCTCCAAGGTTCATCTTCTGAAACACAGTTGTCTAGGAAGGTTGGTGGTGAAGGGACAGGTGTTGTCGGGGATCTGGCCCCAGTTGTAATCCATTAAAAGTCCTTCAGAAACAATCCCTTTCTTTTCAGAACCTCTCTCCATCACAACCGTGTATTCCACAGAAGTTTTACCTCTAATTTCTGAGATTCTCTTAATTTTTGTACTGTGAAAAAATTATATTCTTTGTGTGATCGTGGGCAGCTTCATTTAACCACTTTTGTTCTTCACTTCCATCAAGGTTACAAATATGCTCCAGGTTTGTTGAATTTGAGCATTATGCTATTATACTGTTTCTGACTTGCTTTATTACTTGTAAATGATTTTGCAGCCCAGGAATTATTTAATATCAACAAGGACAGTTGAGTTATTTTTTTTTTTTAAGTATAATCAATAAAGTGTTATTTTTGTGGCTTCTTCACTCCTGTATTTGGCAAGTGGGAGAGAGCATTACCACTCTTGCAGTTTGCTGAGTTCCGAGTTCTTTTCTCATGACCAAGAGAAATGAGGTACACAGACACTGGAGAGTGAGCAAGTCAGAACTGAATTTTACTGAGCAACATAAAGAAAGCCCATAGCATCAAGAGCGTACTCAAAAGAGGTTGCCGGCTGCAAGGCTGAGTCCGAGGTTTTTATGAACTTAGAATGGGGAATTGTGTGCTGATGGGTAGGTTTGGGGAACAAACACCATTCAGAAAGAGGTACAACAGTGTAAAGAACCAATCAAGGGCTGAAGTGAAGTTTTGACCCAGGACCATCTCCCAGGACCAATCAGGGGCTGAGCACACCAAACGGGAATGGAAGTTCTCACTCCGGTTTGCAGACTCTATCCAGAACTGGTAGTTTGGTGTTCAGACTTCAGACTGTCTTTGGCCTGAAGGTCAAGTTTTTCTGGGGACCCATCCTTGTCTGCCTAGGAATTTATCTGCCTCCTATTGCTATCAATATTTATCTGCTCTTACATTGTTTTGTAGAACTAAAAATAAAAATAACAATTACATTCCATTTAAGAGTGTTATTGTCCCTCCAAAATAAGTAAACCAAAAACCCCTTCATAAGTTCGTTCATTCGATGTCTACTTTTTTACTAATGTGCCAGGCATTATGCTGTTGACTTGAGACTCAAGGGTGAATAAAGTTTTTTACTGTGTGGTAAGAGGTGCAGATAATTAAACAGACAGTTACACACTAGTGTAAACAGTGCTTTATGGGAGCTTGTAAGAACAACATCTGCTTCAGAATTACGGGGTCAAGCAAGGGTTAGCACCTAGTGCAGAAAAATGATGTCTAAGATGACATTGAATGATGAATAGGAGTTAGCCAGGTTAATTTGACAAGGGAAGAATGTCACAGCATAAGCATGGGAAGACTTGAGGGAGAGAGAGAGCACAGTGCATACAAAGAAATAAAGTGTTTAGTATATGGCTTATGGGAACTGGGATTCAGTTATAATGTTAGGTGAGAAGCACGAGGAGAGGTAAGCAGAGGTCAGACACTCAGTGCCTTAAAATTAATGTGAAGGCGCTTTAATAGTTATTATGGGAAATGGGGCATTCCTCTGAGCTGAAGTGCATTGGGGTCAGGTGGAAAAAGTCATTAACAAAGATAAGAGATGTTAGAAGGTAATGATGTAATCTAGGCTAAATATTTTGGAGGCACCTAATAGAACTGTAGCACTGAAGACAGAAAAAATGAGAACTATCATAACTATCGTTTTCATAATGCATAATTAGAAAATTGGGTAAAATAAGGATACTTTCTATTGTTTCCCATTTTCACTTATCTTCATGCTTAAAATTAAATCAGCTTTCTATCTCTTACGTATTGCCAGCAGCAATTGAAGAATAAGTTTATCTGGTTAATAAAATTCTCAATGATTCATGGTTTAATCTGTTTAATCTCTTAATCTGATTATTGGAAGAACAACTTTGAATGACTCATGATAGGATGTCAAGAACACTTTCTGGTGGTGACAGTTTTCTTAGTGTGTTTCTAGGTGATGGTGCTTCAGTCATTAAGCATAAATCTACAGTGTAAGCAACAGTAAATAATCTACAATGTCCACAGGTTGTGAAACTACAAATTAACAATTTTAATGAATTTAGCTTGTCAAAATCACTTCATTTTCTAAACTGTCACATGCAACTTCATAACTTCATGAAAATGTCATTTCTCTTAAAAATAATATGGCGAGGTATGGTGGCTCACACTTGTAATCCCAGCACATTGGGAGGACTGCTTGAGGCCAGGAATTTAAGATCACCCTGGCCAATGTAGTGAGACTCCATCTCTATCAAGAAAAGTTGAAAAAATAATAATAGTTGATTTAAAAATGTAGAAAGTAGAAATGTTTCTGACAATAAACAATTCAAAAATATTGTATTACTTAAAATATAATTAAACATATTCTTGATAAGGAAAATATGAATTAAGATGAATATAGTAAATATATTTAGTTAATCGTCTATTTTGTAATTGAACAAATTAATAAACTTACATTTTTAGTATGTCCTAAAGCTCTGTATAACCATCATGTCCATCTATCACGCCATCCCCATAATGAGGAGTTATAGATCAATTGATAAATTAGTAGTAAAAAGACTTACCTTATTTAACATCTACTATATGCTCGTACATAATCAATAGTTTTTGAGAGAGAAATTTAAAGTACCTTAATGTTATCAAATTCCCATTGGAGAAAAATGAGTTCTATGCTAGTCTACACATCATACCAATGAGATAATTTACAATACCAAAGAATTAATAACTACCCTAATATCACAAAATCAGCAAGTGGTAGAGTCAGTGTTTGGAGTGAGGTATGGTAACTTTCATTATTCATGCGTTTTCCACTGTTCCCTGCACCTCATGTTCTTTAACATAATACCTCAATAAGGCAAATGTTGGAAAAACAGTATTAATTGGACTTTGGGCTTTTTGTTAACTTTTCTATTTTTGTGTATTTACCTCAGCATTGTTTGCATATTCACTATCCATGTATTCATTCCTTCATCAAAAGTATTTATTGAATGAATTGGTATTATTCACTGCTCTTGCCTTAAGAAAAGTGACTTGTAAAGCTAATTAACACTATGAGACAAGAATAAAGTGCTATCACAAGAAAGTATATTATTAACAACTAATGACATTGTACACATAGGAATGCTTTTGAAAAGGAAAGAGCAAGGTAACTGCCTATTCAGCATTAGAAAATAATTTTAAAAGCAGAAATTTTACAATAATAAATACTTCTCACCCTTTCCAGGGATACTCTTGTAGAATTAGTGTGCTTAATAATTCTGAAAGACTTTTCCCTTTCATAATGTATCTGTCTTTGGAATTTAATTCATATTGCCTGTGCTACAAGTTGGATTCTCACATTGCTGGCTGGCATCATTGAAAAGGCACCACAAACTAAATGATGTCTCAAAATGTTGATACTTCAGTTATTCTCATTTTAACATGTCTACTTCCACAATTTCACCAGGACTTCATAAGACACAGTCTTTCCCACATGGTTAAACAATGTAAAACCGAGCGGAATGCACCAGAACAGAACAGCATAAGAGAGTACACATTCTTTTGTTGTTGTGGTGGTGGTGGTTAGACAGGATCTTACTCTGTCACCCAGTTTGGAGTGCAGGCATGATCTTGGCTCACTGCAACCTCTGCCTCCCAGCTGAAGAAATCCTCCCATCTCAGCCTCCTGAGCAGCTGAGACCACAGGCATGCACCACCATGCCTGGCTAATTTTTAGTATTTTTTGGTATAGTCAGGGTTTTTCCATGTTTCCCAGGCTGGTCTCAAACTCCTGAGCTCAGGCGATCCACCCGCCTCAGCCTCCCAAAGTGCTGGGATTACAGGCATGAGCCACCGTGCCTAGCCACATTCTTATATAGACACATTATAAAGCAAATCATGTACATGACAGCCCAGTTTGTCCAAAACATTTGCATTCATTTCACTCAAATTTTATAACGCCATCGTGAACCCTTCACCCTTTCTTCCGCTAATCTATAACTTGCAAAGCTAGTTCAGTATAAACGCTGAATTTTTCAATTCAGATTTTTCAAACACACATAAAAAGTATTGAGCAACTAAGATTTTCATGAACTAAACCATAACATGGCTAGGAAGAGCCAACTACTTCAAAAAGATAATAACAGAAGAGTGACTAAGATGACTCCTGGATGAGAATTTTTATTTCTATCCTTCCAATTTTTGTTTCACAGACTTTTTGTTGTATAGGTTTCCTCATGTTAAACAACAGTATTTCAGAAAAGATAAGTGATAAAACCAGAGTGAAGAGACAGACAAAACACAGGTTTTTAAACTTTGAAAGAAAAGTTGCAAAAAGTTGCAATAAGAAGTTTGTCTAAGACTAAAGATAGACTTCATAAAACAGATATCAAGGGATTTTGGTGGGGCTTGGCTGCAGGCCATGGAAGTTGAGCTCATTAGGAAAAAAAAAAAATTGCACCTTTTTGGGATATATAGAAGAGGGACTGAAGAAGCTTTATGATTATATTGAAGTGAAGTTGGTGTTTTGCTTTCAGAAAATGATAATGATTATAATTTGCATTTTGAATAATTACTCCATATAGGCAGAACTCCATATAGGGAAAGGCAGTCTTATGTATCTTTTCATCCCCAAAGAAAGGGTCATAGAAGAATGGGTCTTGGTCCTGGTACATTCCATTACCAACTGATACATAGTCTGTGATGAACTTACCACCTTGAGCAGGAATATCTTTCCCTGTTTCAAGCTCAATGTGCACTCTCTTGTTCTGCTTAAGCATGTACCTCAGGGCTTCTGACTTACCCCCAGCTTTCAGTATTTTATATTCCACAGAGTAGGAGAGCTTTCTTCCACTGCAGCACTAGAGGAGCACATGTAAGCAGATCACCCTGCCTGGGCTCCCAGGGAACCCAATAGCCCTGATGGACCAGTGCAGACTATTGGAGCAAATATTGTTATGCCTCTGTATGTAAGTAAAGTCTTGGTCCAACCAGTGATTAATCATGTAGTGTTTTCTGATACCAAGAGTCCCTCCCTGGAATTGACAACTGAGTGCATAGTGGTCTGCTCAACAACTAGATTGTTATATTTGCTATATAATTTAATGCAGTCTTCAAAACACCCCATTGTTAGGCATCTTATCAACATTTTAGAAACAGGAAACCATGTTTTGAAGAAAGGAGGTAACTCTACAAACTTTATTAGCGAGTAATTGTAATCAGCTCTGTCTTAACACAAATCATGGGCTTTCTTTAGTATGCTATCAAGCTTAATCATCATTAATGTTGGCCTAGGCCTTCTTTTCTAGTCCATAGAAATTCCTCATATAATATTAAGACATGTAAACATATTTTAAAAATATATAATACTGGTTTCCCCTGGATCAAATTAACAACTTTTAGTAGATATATTTTTGGATTTTTCTTCTTGGAAATACATGTTAGTACTTATTTTTATTCTTCATTTAAAAATCAGATAGAACATTGTAGAAATAGCACAACTCTGAAAATTTTTTTATTTTTCTATTAAGCTTATATTTGTTCTATTTTCAAGGAGATGCTTTTAAGGAAGCACACATTTTCTGATTAAAGGTCTCTTTTATTAATGGCAAAATAAATTACATTGGTCCATCATTCTGTATTGGGTGAATTCATAAGCTCTTTCTTACTTGACCCCAAATTAGTGAATTTCTATAATTAAAATTTTATTGTTATTTATTTATTTACATTCTCACTTTGGTTTTGCTGAAGAGATGTTGGCACTTTGGCATAAGCTTAGTTACCTCAAGCGTGAATGTTATTTGTTTCCCTTAACTTGAATTTATGCCAGAGACTTGGTTGAAGTTGTTATTACAGTGCTAAACATCTCCAGTTCCTGGTTTGCTCACAACCTCTTCAGTCAGCATAAGGATTAATTGTAACTCAAAATAGATTGCCAATTATCTTCATTTACTATAACCTGCCATCTCATCAACTTATGATTGGAAGACCCCATTGATATCAGGGGGTTTACTGGATTGCAAAACATTCACCCACTAGAATTTAGAAATTACTGAGATTAGTGAGCAACTGCTGACAGCTATTCCCCAAACCAACATATTAATCAAGTTATTTTATTGTAACGTATTCAAAAACTAGCATCTTTATTTGTCCATGTTCTATACTTTATGTAAATAATTAGAACTTTTTTTTTTTTTTACTCTCTTCTATTTCAATGGAGCATCTTTTAAATTCAATACTAATTTGTTGTTTCCATTGTTTTCCACTTGGCATTCTTCTTTACCTTCTTGTTGTATTTTTATCCTTTAATTTGCTTCCCTTTCTTTTACAAATTCTCTTTTCCCACATTTCCTGTGACAAATCCATGTATCCATGAATAAATTATTACAAAATCTTTAAGCTCAAAGTAATACAATTTTTCTTCTTTTATTAGACATTTTTCATGGAGATATGAATTATTTATAAGTGTAAGCTGTACCTTCTCTTGGCCTTATTTTTTTTGGCAAGAACATGTTAACAAAACACCAGGGATGTGGTGTAGGTCCTGCTGCTCACCACACAGAAAGCCAATCACTGAGACAACACGCATTGCCAAGGAAGAAGACTTTCTTTAATCAGGTGCTGCAGCGGAGGAGACGGCCACTCAGTCTCAAATCCATCTCCCTAACTGACTAAAACTAAGAGCTTATACAGCAGGGAAATAATGTAACCATGTTTAAGAAAACAACAACTAGGGAGGAGCAAAGAGGCATCTCCTGCTGTGACCTGGTGAGTTTCAGTTCTTTGATACTTTTTTTGAGAGGCCTGAAGGTCCTTTTCTGAGGAAGGAACACAGATAAAACAAATGCAAGTTTCAAGCTTTAACAGTAGAAGGGTCATTTTATATGTTTATAAAACAGAACAGCCTATGGGATTATTGTGCCAATTTCAGTCCCTCCTTTCTATTTATCAGTTCCTCAATCATTAGGAATCCAACTGTGGCTCTTTCTGGCTGCTTCACACTGAGGAGGGGTATTGTTGGCAGCTCCATACCATGAATGATCAGGTGGCCACTGAAGAATCAAAGGTTAATCTAATATAAAGTTTTCTTCTGAAACAGCATTTCTCCCTATGGTCTCCCATTTCCACCAAAGACAAATCACACCATCACCAAATTCCCTGCAAAATAAGCTTCAGTCCCATATACTTTGCCTGATTACTCACTTAAAGTGCAGGAAGAATCATTGTCCACAAAAGCTCTCCTAAGTTGGACTTGATGAACCTCTCACAAGGCTATTCCAGTCAAAGCCCTGGGAAAATAACCAGTTCTTCCAACTGTTACAAAAGAAAACAGGTTCTTATTAAATGTATGTATGAGAAAACTATCAGAATTTTACTCTATACATTCAATAATTTTCAATGTATGTTACACATACATATATACTCTACATATTGTAGTTTATAATCTGTTTTATAGAATAAAAATGAAATATATAGGCTTTTTTTCTTGTTAGTATCTCTACAAATAATTATAAGCTTTTCCTTCAATAGCTCTCATATATTATTTAACTACTCCCATGTTTAACCTGTCCCATATTGGTTTAGTTTTATTTTTAACCATTACAGTTTTTGAATAGTGTATTAATGAATGTCATGTAACACAAGCTCTGACTACACCCTTGTTTTCTTATAATAAATAGCTCTAAATATACTGTTGGATAATTTAAAATGTTTAATTGCTAAATATTTAAATATGCTATCAAGTTTTTAAATTTCCAACAGTAGTTATGAGTATGTCTCTTGCCTCATGACTTTTCCTACCATAATACCCTCACTCCACAGAACCAATGTATGGAGGCTGCCAGTTGCTGAGTATACATAGTCCAACTATACATTCTAGAACTGGAAAAATAACCATATAGTAGGTTTGGGGATCCACTAGACCACTATGGGATGGATGTGAGCTAAAACTCCAGTAATCATCTGACCTGCATAAGCCTCTTTTCTGAATAATGGACCACAGTGTCATTTGGATCTCCTGAAACTAATGTCAATGTCCAAAGTCTTAGTCCATTTATTTTACTATAAAGGAATACCTGAGACTGGATAATTTATAACAAAAATAGGTTTATATGGCTCATGTTTCTGCAGACTGTACAAGAAGCATGACATAAACATCTGTTTCTGGTGAGGACTTCCAGCTACTTCCACTTATAGCAGAAGGTGAAGGGGAGCAGCGTGTAGTGATCACATGATGAGAAGAAGAAACAGAGTGGAGGGAGGTGCCTGGTTCTTTTTAACAATCAGGCCTTGCAGAAACTAATATAATGAGAACTCACTTATTACCGCAAGGATGGTATCAAGTCATTCATGAGGAATCTGCTCTCGACCACAAACACCTCCCACTAGGTCCCTCCTCCAGCATTAGGGATCAAATTTCAACATGAGGTTGAGAGCGTCCAAACAAACCAAACTACAGCATTTTGCCCCAGCCACCTCCTTCACCCAAATCTCATGTCCTTCTCACATACAGAATACAATGATTCTATCTTAATAGTCCCTAAGAGTCTTAACTTGTTCAGGCACCAGTTTACTACTTTGAAATTAAATGTTTCACCTGAGACTCCTGGCACGTTCCCTCCAGTTATAAGCCTGTAAATTGCAAAACCAGTTATTTATTTCCAAGATACAATGGTGGTGCAGGCATTGGGTAAACATTCCCGCTCCAAAAGGAAGAAATTTGCCAAACAAAAGGGGTAGCAGGCCCCACACAAATCTGAAACCCAGCAGGGCAGACATTAAATCTTAAAGCTCCAAAATGATCACTGACTCCATATTCTGCCTCCTGGGGACACTGGTGCAAGGGGTGGAATCTCAGGGCCTCAGGCAGTCCCATTCCCATGTCTTTACTTCTCTCATGGGTTGAAGTCCAATGCCTGTAGCTCGTCCAGGTTTCAAGCTGCTGGTGGCTCTATAATTCTAGGGTCAGGAGGGCTTTGGCCCTGTTTCCACAGTTCCACCAGGCAGTGCCCCAGTAGGGACCCTATGCAGGGGCTCCAACTCCACATTTCTGCTTGGCGTTGCCTTAGGACACTCTTTCTGCAAGAGCTCTTCCCCTGAGGCAGGCTTCTGCCGGGGTACCCAGGCTTTCCCATCCATCCTCTGAAATCTAGGTAAAAGCCCCTAAGCCTTCACCACTCTTGTATTTTGGGTGCCTGCAGACTTAACACTATGTGTTCCATGTTTCAGCCAATCAAATTGTTAGAGCTTTTTTAACGCTTCAATCTACAAAACAGAATCCTCTTGCTCAGCTGACCCATAGCAGTAAATTCATCTTGATCCAACTTTATGTTTCACCATTATCCTTCACTCTTAATTTGTATTCTCACACATATTCCCCAGATTTCTGTCTCTATACACTGGAAAAATAAAATCATGCAGTTCTTTTAGTGTACAGTATGTTCACTTTTTGCTTCACCCAAAGAGAGATGCTGAGAATAATCAGCAGTGCCTTGAAAGGCAACAACCTCAAGGGAGGCTACTACAATTTCTCCAGGCAAAGCAGGGTTAACCTTCTCAGGCAGGAGTGATGGAAAGGCTTCTACTACTGAAAAGGAAAATTCAGCAGAATCTAGGGAGTTGATGCCTCCAGCTTTACCAGAATCTGACTATATTTCCTCCGTGCAATTTTCAGGATCCCATTCCTTTCCTATCAGTGGCCTCAGTTTAACAGAAGGCATCCTCTTGAGATGGTTGAAAATTCAATTTGTTTTGTGATCCATACACTCTCAGGATGAGACTCTGTGTTTATATTTCAGAATCTCCATCCTGCAGTTACAGGAAAGAGGGTTTCTTTCAGGGAAGATACAGAAGTTTTTAGGTCATTTATTCAGAGCTTGTGCTGAGATTCTAATGTGCTGTCTTTTTTACCCCCAATTTCTGCCCTAGAGCAACCAGCTAATCGCATTGTGCTCATTACTTTAACTAAAAATATTCTAAGGTAGAAAAAAAATGGTAATCCAAAATTTTACATAGGCATACACACACACACACACATACTATATATATAGTGTGTGTGTGTATATATATATATGTATTTGGTTAGAATAATTTAATGGTGATATTCTGTATATTTCTATTGTAATATCTCACCATGGGCTACTAGTGTCCTCTTTATCACTGGAAATAGGGACATTCGTGCCTCTACATTTAGTCAGTTTTAAGACCAAATTCCAGAAAACCCAGTACAAAATAAGAAAACTTATTTAATATTGTATTCCTCTAGAACAATGTTTGGTGTTGAAATATTTACTCTTTTCCTGTAGCAGTTGTAACAAATTAACACAAAAAAGGTCACTTAAGAGACACTTATTAGCTCACAGTTCTGGAGGGTCAGAGATCGGAAACCAAGGTGCTGGCAGAGGCACTCTCCCTCTGGAAGCTCTAGGAGATTCTACATTTCTCTCCTTTTACAGCTTCCTGTTGCTGATTTCCTTCACTCTTGGCCACATGTCTTGCTCCTCCTTTTTCATATTGTTTTGTCCTCTGTGCATGTTTTGTCCTTTGAGTCTGTGCATAAAATTTCCCTCTGCCTTGCTCTCACTTGTGATGGCATGGAGTGCCTACCTTGATAATCTAGCATCTAAAACACATCTTTTGCCATGTAAGATGATATTAACTATTTTACCATATGAGGTAATATTTACAGGTCCAGGGATTTGGACATAATATATATTTGGGGGCGGGTCACCATTCAGTCCACTAAACTCATAAGATTCTGCACTACTCAACATCACTCTGTTCTGTTTGAAGCACGGCATTGCAGTTTGCTTTAGTATTTGGTAAGAAAAACCACTCATCTTTACTATCTATTTTTGTGCTGCTATGAATGATAATATTTCATTTTCTATTATACTTTCTAGTGACCATTGATAGTATAGAAAACACAGATGGCTTTGTAGGTTAATCTTGCATATAATAAATCTACTAAATTTTTCCATAATTCTATAAATGTCTCTTGATTTATTGTTTCTTTATGCAGATAATCATATCATCTTCAAATAACAGTACTTTGCATTTTCCCTACCAATCCTCATAACTAATATATCTTGTCTTTTAGTAATCTTGTTGGCTATGAATTTCTATCCTGTGCTTATCAGTAATTACAATAGTGAAGATGCTTACCATGTTTCATATTCTAAAGAAAGTATTTTTAACAGTTTTCCACTGAGAATCATGTTAGGTATTAATTTTTAATGTACAAGTAGGTCAAAATAAGAAAATTTCTTTCCTTTACTTATTTTTTGGTTTTAAGCATATTAATCACATTATTCTAATTATATATATGTGTATACACACACACACACACACACACACACACATACACACACATTTCTTTTATATTATGTGTTTGGCATGTCTTTGGGAGAGGTACATTTAAAATGTCCAACTACAATAGTTTATTTGCTCTCTTTCCCTGTCTTATTTTTTAGTTGTTCTTTATAAAATTAAGGGCTATATAAAATTGGGGAGTTTAAATTTTTATAACTTTTTTATCTATTTTCTATTTATAAGTATCTAAATTATTACTACTCATGATAATTTCAGCTTACATAATATATTATTTTACATTCAAATTTTTACATTGAATTATTTTCAGGTTCATATTGCCTGTAATATCTGGCTTTAACAATTTAGTTTCAGAGTTTTATATGCTTTTTAGTTCAGTGAATTTCTTACAGACAAGATATTCTTGGATTATTAAGATATGCTTGGATTATTCTTGAATTCTTATCTTTTCTGATTGATGTAATTACTCCATATTGTAAAGACTGGCTCCCAAAAAGACATGCTATTTTCCTAATCCCCAGAACCTGTGTACCTTACATGGTAAAATATTGAATATTATTTTGTGTGGCCAAAGATGTGATTAAACTAAAGCTCTTGAAAGGAAGAGCTTATACTGAATTATCCGGGTGGGCCCCAAATGCAACCATATGTACCCTTGTAAGAGAAAGCCTCAGAAACTCCAGAGACAGATACATAGACGAGAAGACATATATAAAAGAACCAATGTGAGCCTGGAGGTACCAATTGGAGTGATGTGACCATGAGCCAAGGAATGCCCTAATCCACAGGAATCTAGGAAAGGAGAGAAAGGAATTCTCTCCTACACCCTTTGGAGGGAACACCACCCTGTTGACACCTTGATTTCAGACTTTGAGCTTCCAGAATTGTGAGGGAATAAATTTCTGTTGTTTTGCTAAGGTTGTGGCAATTTGTTACGGCAGTCCTAAGAAACTAATACACCTCATGGACTTATATTGTAACTACTC